ATCATTAAAAGATTAATAGTAACATATTAATACGCAACAAAATATAATTTGCCACCTCTTCTAAGTTTTTTGTAATGACATTTTGAAATTGTCCAAAAACTTTGCAGTCACCCTGTACATATATAATACAACAAAATAAAACTCAATTTACCTACGATATATAGATGACATTCTAAAAAATATCGATAAAATACATGAACTACAAAAACTTTCAAAAATCTCCGTATTTAATTTCACATAGGAACTTAACAACGACAGTAAAATTCCTTTTATTGATGTATTGAGAGATACTAATAATAAAACATTTAGTTCCTCCCCTTATAAAAAAAAGCTACAAGCATAAATATATGCACCCTCAACTATAAAAGTGAATGTCCTGTTACAATATAGCTATTACATGGAATACCGTGTAAAAGCAAACTCTTCAACGAGAAAGATTTTCTATACTGAATTAAAAATATTAAATGCATCCTCATTACTCATGATTTTCCTAATTACTTCGTTGATGAACAAATGAGACGAGGTATGGGGAAGATTAACTTACATAAAAATGAACGTAATACGTACTCAAATAACTCTAAGTATATCAAACTACTATACCGTAATCAAATACATTCTACCTATAAGCAGGGGGAAAAAGATCTAAAAAAAACCCTCATTAACATTAATATAACCACTAATGATCCAAATAAAAAAATAAAATTACTTATATATTGTACTAAATTTATTACAACCAACCCAGTCAGCCATAACAACTTTTCTTCTTCGACTAGCGTCTTACAAAAGGCCAACATTGTATATCAATTTAAATAAAAAATTATTTTTTAAAAATTATAAAAATATTAATACGTATGTTGGTTTTACAACAACGACGATGACGAGAATACTTACGTTTCAATTGAACGATCGTAGTTCAATCTCAGAACATTCAAATCAACACTCATGTCCACATTCAGATTTTAGACTGATATTAGTCGAAAATACTTCAGTGTTCTATCCAGATAATAAAATGCAAAACCTTAAATTTCTTGAAACCCTTTTATTTAACAGAACTGCGGCCAAAATTAAGTAAAGTTAGCTACGAGGAGAGCAACAAAGTTCTGAAATGTTTGTAGCAGCAAAGTGTTATATAAAAAAATACTAAATTAAAGTGCTGACATCAAAAATCTTTAATAATTTTTATCACAAAAATCACAAAAGTTACCTCTCTTGCATAGAGGTAAAAATTTTTGGAATTTCTGATATTAAACATAACATCTCCATAGAAATGTAGCCCCTGAAGATGGTCTCAGATGAAATTGAAAATACTTGAGAAAATAAAAAATTATTTGAAAGAAAATTCTGGAATTTTTCTTAATCAATATTCTACAGACATCAAGAAATTGATTCGTGTACTTGAAATGATTAAAACTAAAGTAAATAGATATAATACATCTAAATTACTTAACCTGGTCTGCTTGAATGAAAAATGAATATATATATATATATATATATATATATATATATATATATATATATATATATATATATATAGATATAGATAGATAGATAGATGAAGAAATATAGTTTTAAGGTATGCCATATTTATGGGATATAAGTTCAATATCAGAGATAGAGCGTATGTAAATATAAAAGTGGACATTGAAGTCAACACTCACAAGCGACAGACTGTTTTCATGCTAAAAGCAGTCATCGGGTGGCATGAAACAGTGGGATGAATATATATATATATATATATATATATATATATATATATATATATATATATGATTACATTTGACTGAAATTTATAAAATCTTTCTATTCAAGCAGTTTTTCAGGAAATTAATTTTCTGATGTCCAGTAAATATACGTTTTGAGTGGATAATATTTTTAAGTGATTGATTTTTTGATTGATTGATTGTTTTTCTTTTTAATTCTTATCAACATTTCTGGGGTTATTTGAAGGCGAAAAATATATTCCCATTGCACGACACTGACATCCAAACTTAAAACACTTGTTATTCGCGAAGGACCCTCTAGGCACCGATTATTACTTAACTTCGGTGATCGAAGGAGAACCGATGCTTGACTTTTTCCTAGGTTGTGTGTATTCATTATATACGTTTTTTTTTTCTAGAGGCGTTATTCATTTTAGTTGTTGTTCTTATTTGCTAACGTCCTGCTCGGACCTGCGTGCTGCAGACTTCAACTATTTGAATTTACTATTGAATTCGTCTTCCTACTCGGCTATATTCTGTATTGAAGTTGCTAACAAAGATGCGAGCGTAGAAATGCTTAAGGAAGTTGATTTTCATACATGTGACATAAGGTCGTAAGCATGGGAACACGGATGGAGTATCGAACTCACTACTCAGTCGTGAGACAAGCTTGATAACATGACACCACGGCAAGGTGCCCCAAATGATTTCCTAAGCGTAAATGTGGCACAAGGCTTGAAGCATAGGGGAGCCCAGTGAAGATCAAACTCTCTACTCAGTCGTAATTAACGGCATGAATTTAAGCGTGCTACTAGGTTGGCAGCTCGGTCCCACCATTTCACTTTCGAAACGGTTATATGTAATCGCCTCTTCTACTCCAACAGCTTCTTCTCACACTTTCCGACAGTGGCACTCACTCATTCTTACTTGCTTCCCTGATAACTATAATCTTCAAATAATCAAATTTAATGTCAATCGACAAATTTTGATGCCTTCATCCTGATCCTCGTCCTTTCCTCAAACACCCTTTGTTACTCTTGTTCTGACTCTCTGTAACACTTTTCTTGGGGTGAAATTCTTTAAATTGTTCTAGCGAGACAAGCTTGACAACATGGCAGCACGGCCATGTGTCTAATATATATATATATATATATATATATATACATACATACTAGAAGCATGGCCCGGCGTTGTCCATGCTTGATTCAAAAATCGTACGACTCATACAATCGCTATCACTTGACTTAAAATATTTTTGCCCTTCCTTGCCTTTAAAGGAGTGCCCGTTGCTGTGTTGATGTTGCTACATGCCTTACTTCTTGCCTATCTCACACTGCGAATTTTTTCTAAGCTCTATACTAAACATTAAATTTGTTACGAAAAGAGAACTACACAAAATGAACACAAAACGATCAGCTTTCAAAAAAGGACTCGTAACTGGAAAAACTGAATGAAAAAACAATGTTTACAACAAATACTTTTTCACACCCAACCCAGTTCTGCGGAATCAGAATCAACGTTGAGTTTAAGCAAGCGAATGAGCCAATTGGAGTAAAGTGCCATGCAGATTTAAATTTTTCCCACTTGTGACGAATGCAGCTATCGATTTTTTTGTATGCTAGCATGCTAGTTAACATTCGTGTCAGTCATCTGTTGGCTCTCAAGCTGGCCAATAGAATCCTCCTGCCTATTTGTGGCAGCCAGCTATAGGCTCTCACTCAGGCCAGTAGAAAATGGCCGCAAACTACATGAAAACTGCCATAGAAGCATGAAAAAATTGATTATTTCCACTATCGATGGGAGTTGGGAAATGCAAAGTCGGACTTGGCCTTCCCACTAATTTGGAGCATGTGCATGTAAATTTTGATGCAAATCCGTCGAAAATTGCGGCCGTGCCTTCGTTACACACACATACATCCTGCCTTATATATATATATATATATATATACATATAAATATAAATATAAATAACTAGACTCGTTTCGAAAAACCTTCGAATTTTTGATTTGTTAATCAAATCAATTTCGAGGGAAAAAAAGGTTTTAAAAAAAGAAAGAGCTACAAACATAAACTTCTGCCGACAAAAAATCGCACAGATGCAGGTCTGAAGCCCAAAGAAAAAACCCCGATATGAGTAACAACTAACTAACAAAAGAGCTCAATACAATCGTAGAGCAAACCTAGATATAGGTGAAACCTAGGTAGGTTTGTCTGGCTCACTAGGTGTATCTATCTATCTATCTATCTATATATATATATATATATATATATATATATATATATATAGTTATGCAAATTTAGGTAATCCGTATGGGTAGACCTGAGGAGGATGATATCCAGATAGCTCAATGTAAAATTCAGAGCAGATATGTTTGAATAAAAGACGGACCACGTTAAGATTCCATGTAATAAGCTATTTCGCCATAACCCCTTTAACAGGGTTCTGGATCATCAGACTTTACTTCCAAAAGCTGAAATGAAAATGAAAAGAAATTCACACGTTTTTTACGGACCTCATCAAGTATACGCAAAGTTAACGAAGTGAGGAAGTGAGGTGGGAGAGAGGATATGAGTGTGTCATATGTATCATTTTAGTTTCCTATTTTAACCCCAGTGTGTCGGCTGGATGTTGCTCAAATCTAACGCGTCTCGTCTCTAGATAAAGGTGGTTAAGGGGTGAGCGATAAGAACTACCTTAAAGGGAGACGTTCCAACAACCCCAATAAATTACACGACAGGTTTCATTCAAATTCCTAGATGCTGTCAGTTCGCGTTACTTTAACGTGCATATTTGGGAGGTTAAGATTTGATAAATATCTAAATTTTCAAACAATCTACGATTCCATGGTTATAACTCAAATTCTTGGAAATATATATATATATATATATATATATATATATATATATATATATATATATATATGAAGGAAAACTGGAATGCATTGTCGGAATATCGTAAATGTAAGAAATGAATGCATTTGTCTACCTATCTGACAAGCATGTGTGAATGGATATTGAAGTGAGGGATGAAAGGATTGGCAAAGGGAGAGTTGTTGCTAAGATCTACAAGAGATAGGAGGTTGTGGAGAACCATGATCGAACGTGTCTATTAGGGAAAAAGTTCATAGAAGAAAAAAGTCAGCATTTATGAAGCGTATGAATAAAAATCGATTATTTTTTCGTACTTATGGGCGTTAGTGCTTTTCGATGGCTATTTGCTTGCCTAGAGTTGTTCGTGTTAATTGTTAGGGCAGAGAATGAAGTGGAGATGACGGAGAAGAGAGGAAAAGACTTGAGGCGATGTGGGTTATGGTGTGGAAAAATAGGTGGACACACCCTCTGACTGGAGGAGCCCCAAGACGGTAACTGTATGTAACGCTACGCAATAAGTTTCAGGAGTCGCGCAAATTTCTGTGTTTGTTCTCTCTCTCTCTCTCTCTCTCTCTCTCTCTCTCTCTCTCTCTCCGGTTGGTTTTTGACTCCACCCGTCTCCTTACCTCCTCTAGCCCCGCCTCCTCAATAAGGGCGTGGGACGATGGGTCCCTAACGGATTTGGGATGTGTGGATTATATTTGTGATTAATAAACACCAAATCTTTGACAGCGCCGCCTAGTGGCGATGATTTATAACTCCAACTTTCTTCTATAGTTGAGATAAGGCTGCGTTCTTCTTCTATCTGTCTATATAATTACAGAGTAGCAAATCCCCCCACACACACACACCCAAAAAAGTAGAAATAGATTAGAATGAGGAAAGGAAAAAGTAGAAGAATAAAAACGAACTATTTCTTGCTCCCTCAATTACTCTCTTAATCTAACATACACACGCTCTCTTTCTCTCTCCCCCTCTCTCTTTGGCAGTTGGTTTCTTTTCATTTGCCATTACGTGATAAGCAATTGATTAGATTTATCTTGTTTCATTTTTCTTTTCTCGCTCATTTGTCGACATTGTGTTTTTTTTTTTTTTTTTTTTTTTTTTTTTTTTTTTGGCTCTTGGCGTTTCTTGCTTTTTTGTTTTAAATTTATTGCCGTTTTTTTCTTTGTTTTTATTTTTTATTTTACTCGTTTCAAAACCTCATTCTTCCTTCCATTCTTATTTTTTCATTCTTTCTATAAGTTTTCTTTCTTTGCTTCTATACTGCTAAATTTCTTTTTCCTACAATAATCAGTTTTCTTTCTTTCTTTTTCTTTATTTCTTTTTATTTTTCTTTATCAACTTCTTTCTTTCTTTCTTTTCTTCTGTGATGGTAAATTCTTTTTTTCCTACAATAATTAGTTTTCTTTCTTTATTTCTTTTCCTTTCTTTCTTTTTATGTTTCTTTATCAACTTCTTTCTTTTTTTCTTTCTTTTCTTCTATGATGTTAAATTCTTTTTTCCTACAATAATTAGTTTTCTTTCTTTTTATTTCTTCCTTTTTATTTTTCTTTATTAACTTCTTTCTTTCTTACTTTTTTTCTTTCTGTCTTTTCTTCTATGACGTAAAATTCCTTTTTTCCGACATAAATTTGCTTTCTTTCTTTTTTCTTTCTAATTTTTTTTTCTTTTCTCCCATCACGCTGAATTTATTTGTCCTACAATAAGTTGCTTTCTTTCTTGGATTTTGTCAATTTTTCTACGACGTTAAATTCCTTTTTTCTTACAATAATTAGTTTTCTTTCTTTCTTTCTTTCTTTATTTAATATTCAGTCATTTTTTTCTACCATGACGTTAATAATTTCAGTTCTTTCTTTTTCCTTTCTTCTTTTTCCTTTCTTCTTTTTCTTTTCTTCCACGATGGTAAATTTCTTTCTCCTACAATAGTTTTCTTTGTTTGTTTGTTTGTTTGATTGTTTGTTTGTTTGTTTCTTTCTTTCTTTCTTTCTTTCTTTCTATTCCTCCATGAAGTTAACTTTATTTTTCGTATAATAATTCTGTGTCTTACTACGATTTTTTCCCTTCTTTCTTTCTTTCTTTCTTTCTTTCTTTCTTTCTTTCTTTATTTATTTATTTATTTCCATGACGTATTTTTTCCTAAAATAGTTTTTTTCTTTCTTTCTTTCTTTCTTTCTTTCTTTTCCTCCCGAAAGTTAACTTTCTTTTTCGTACAATAATTAAGTGTCTTACTATGATTTTTTCTTTCATTATTTATTTATTTATTTATTTTTTTATTTTTTTCTTTGTTTCTTTCTTTTCTTCCATGACGTATTTTTTTCCTAAAATAGTTTTCTTTTTTCTATCTGCTTTCTTTCTTTCTTTCTTTCTTTCTTTCTTTCTTTCTTTTCCTCCCGAAAGTTAACTTTCTTTTTCGTACAATAATTAAGTGTCTTACTATGATTTTTTTTTTCATTATTTATTTATTTATTTATTTTTTTTATTTTTTTTCTTTGTTTCTTTTTCTTTTCTTCCATGACGTATTTTTTTCCTAAAATAGTTTTTTTTTTTATCTGCTTTCTTTCTTTCTTTCTTTCTTTCTTTCTTTCTTTCTTTCTTTCTTTCTTTCCTGATGTTAAGTTTCTTTTTCCTACAGTAATTAGTTTTCTTTCTTTCTTTTCGCCTCTGTCATTTATTTTCTATTTTCTTCGAAATACTTTCTTTCTTTCTTTTCTTTCACTCTGTTTTTCTGTCCTTCCTTTTCATACCGTTTACATTTTCTTGCAATATATCCCCCATCTCTCTCTTTCTTTCTTTCTATCTTCATTTTTCTATGATGTTTACTTTATTTTCATTAAATTGTCTTCTTTCTTTTTTCTTCTTTTACTTTCAATATTTTTTTCATTTTGTTCTTTCTTTCATACCCTTTACTTTTTTGGTTACTCCAGTCACTATCTCTTTCTTTCTCTCTTTCTTTCTTTCTTTTCTAGTATATATCGTCCTTTTTTAACCTTTTTCCTTTTTTGCATTTAACCTTTCTATTATTATTTCTGTATAATACGCACTTTTCTCAAGTCTAAAAATCAGGCATGTATATTACACACGAGTAGTATATCCAACTGTCTGTTTTTACGCCATCTCTCTCGGTATATTTGGAAAGGCTTATCTTTGCTCCAAATTAATATATAGCTAAGAGTTTAATCCCTATCGAACCATAACTTTTGTATTTAAAGAAAAAAATGAATATTTTTCAATCTCTTTTATTGATGCCTGTGTCAAAGTTCAATTCCATGACAATTTCACATATGTAGCTCACATCCTAGATTTTTTTTCTGAAGTTCGATACCGCCATTGTAAAAAGAATCATTCTTCCTACAAAATAAAGCAGTAGTAATCTCAACTAATGACTTCTTATCTTCTTTTCCTTTTTCTTCTTTGTAAAGATTGTCGGAGTTAGCTCCTCCTTAATTCCCTAATTGTCACTAGGGGTCGCTCTCCCTCTACTATAAATACAGGGCGACTTCTTGTCACTTTCTCTTTTTCATTTCTCCATTTCAGCGAACACACCTACAATGTAAGCTCTCGCAAAAGACAGCGTTTTCCCATCTGTGGGAGACGCCATGAACATTATACACACATACACATACGTACGAACATTCACAAAAGAACAAACACAAATTTTAGCACACACACAAATGTTAATGTCTATGTCCATTGTAAATTTGTGTTAATACATATATTTGTTTATATAGATATCGGTCTTGTTTGTTTTGTTTAAAAACTTCAGTTGGACACAATTTGAGTCCGCCATGTTCTTGTCGCTGGACTTACTTCTAGCAGGAATAAATAACATGTGTTTCCCAAATCAACAGCACACAAACCCATACGGTCCTCTACAAGCTAAACCCAAACGAGTTGTAAGTTCCAACCTGGGTAGAGCTTTATTAAATAAAATAATATGAATGTACGGCGTGAAATTATTAAGTGCAGATTATGAGGATATGGAAGATTGATAGCGCTTGAGCCTCGGCTTGAAGAGGTTATGATCGCAGCGTTGGTGGACGCATGCGCATAGGATCCTATCGCCCAACAGAACTTCTTGAGAGAAAGCTTTCACAGTCTAACGTCTTTCTTTCTAATGGAATACGAAGGAAATGCGAGTGATTCAACCATGCAGATGCAGCAAAGTACCTCATGGCGGGCCATCACTGAGCTGTTGGTATTATATAATGGTGCACATCTGAATATTGGCCATAGAAACAGCGATAGAGGAAGCTTGCGAAGTTACCAAATTTTGGCACAGGACCGCAATAGCACTTGGATTGTGCTTATTAATAATTTACTATTATTTTTTTTTTTTTTTGAACGCGTATTTCCATTGCAAGCTGTTCTTAGAGTTTTTCTATGGAAATGCCTGTACGGTTGCTTTAAATATGTTATTCTTATTTATTTATTTATTTATGAAAATAAAAAAAAAATGGAGAGAGGCACAGAAAATTCAAAAAAGATAGAACGTCATATAACTTTAAAAAAGAGGTAAAAATTAAGAAAAAAAAATAAATCAATTTTAAAAAAAAAATAAAATAAAAAAAAGGAAGAAAGAAGGAAACATCGTATAAACCTGAAATAAATCAATTAAAAAGAAAGAAAGAAACATTCTGTTATTTCATGTTATTTCTTTCTTTCGCTACTTGTATTTTTTTAAACTTATTCCTGATTATCCATAAGCATAACTTCGTATTTCTTTTAAACTGGGCAAAATTACCAGCAAATAGACTTTAAGCAATTGACAATATTATTCAAACATAATATCAATAAATTAAGCGCCATACGTAATCATGTCTCTTTCGATTCATGACAGACGAGGCAGAAAATATTCCCGCAGTAGGCTGCCGTTTCTTTCTGCGTTTGACTGGTTTCTAACCAACACTATAGGACTCAATCTATCCTGCTAATCAATCCATGGGAGAAGGTTATTTTGCGTAAGTGAATGTAACAAACTCGACTGGAATTCGAACTCGGCTCTCCAATACTTCATACCCATTACTCCACAATGCACATCTAAATATAATATGCATTTCTTAATAATTCATTATAGGTTTTTAACAACCAATGACATTGTAGAGATACTAGAATTGCATACTTATTGAGACATATATTTAATAAGGGATTGTTACAGTACGTCCTCGATTATCCGAACACCTTTGAACAGTGGTTGAAAATATATTCGGATAATTAAAAATCCGGATAATTGAATACATAAAAAAAAATCATTTGCTGACATTTTAGAGTAATTGGCTATGGTTAAATATCAACAGAATCGACAAAGTTTGCAATAAACAATAACAAAAAATAAAGATAAGACGAAAGGCAAAAATAATACTAAGCAAATGATATTTGAAAGCAAAAGTGATGAAGCAAAACGTTCACAAATTAAGAAGGATGTTGATATACAAAAAAGGATACAGACAAGAGGTCGACTATGATTTTGGTTCATTATACATGGATCCGCTTTGAAAGATCGCTCGCTTCTCATTGGCTTGTGGTCATTTATCCTTACTGGAATGCTTTATAAATTGTTGGCCGAAATATGGCTTTGTTTGTCTGGCGATTTTTATTTGTCACTTATTTTTAGAGATGGAGAAATTTTGGTTTTCTTGTTAGTTATTTGTATTTATTGATTACTCTCTCACGGAACAGTCAATCTACAAGATCAAATTGTAGAAATTATTGTATCTTATTCATTATTTTCCAGAATAAACTGTGATACCATATGTAACGATTTTGTTTATTAGGATTGTCAGTAGAAATATTATCTGGAAGCACATAAAACAATTATTTATTTTAACAATTATTTCTTTCTCTTGCACCAAGTAGTAATCGTCTTAGGTTGTCTGAATTTCTTAGATGAACCTTTGACAATTATTATTGTTACACTTGTATTTTATCTTATTTCTCTGGCTTTTAAACCAAGTGTAGACTAATTGATCACAGTTAAATGTAATTGGTAGAAATTCCCAAAAGACAATTTACAAAGTTTGCAATAAACACTAACAAAAAGAAAGGTAAGAACAAGGCCAAAAATAATACTAAGCAAACAATATATGCAAGACAAAAGTATCCAAAACAGTTGTAATATTGTAACAGTGCCACTCATTGGTCTAAAAAAATGATGTGTGATGTGATCGCTTGCGACGGCAATAAATTCCGTTGCTGCATCTTATATAAAAAAAAAAAAAAAGATTTCGCAGACGCATATTTGTTGGAGACCGCGATTAATTTCTTCCCGGTTTATTTTTTCTGTTTGTGTGAATTGTCAAGTGAGCGAGAGAAAGACGACAAATGGCGGTCCTAGAGTCAAGTTATAAAACTGCTCTCTATAGAGGTGACAGTTTAATTCTGTCGACACACCGGGTCAGGTCCTAAGTTTCGCTGTCAATCTTCCCCACCTCTCAGTTTAACTGCCACCACGAAACTCAATAGCAAACTCTGCCGTCACGCAATTCATACCCAAACACTTCTTTTTATATTTCCCCTTATGTGTGACGGAACATTTCCGGTTTCGGTCCGAGAGGCTTCTAGAGTCGCGTAGGGTCTTATAGAAAAAGACCAGATTCCTCCCGAACCATCTCAAATCGGTAGTCCGTCATCATTTATTTATCTATTTAGCGGATCAGATACCCAGCCTAATTATAAACAGCACTGGTTGATCATATTCACCCGTGAAAGCCTGGTGTGTCGGATTGATCTTTCTCAATGAGGGGTCGACTTTAAAAGCTTTTCACAGAATAACGTCTGTTGTTTAGCGATTGGATGACCAGTTAGCCCACATGGTAGTAATTTTTAGTGTTACTAAAAACTCATTTTTTTTTTATTTTCTTAAATTAAGTTTTATTTTTATTTTTTTTAAAAGAACCTAATATAAATTTACGCTGGAATGTTTCACGTACTGCCCATTACATGGCAAAAAAAAAACGTTCACATATTAAGAATGGATTCATGCGTAACTCAATGCTTTTAGCACGGAAGTGAATAAATGGAACCCGACTGTAACTGCGAACTTCGGCCTTCCGGCTTCGTAGCCCGAACCGCTAACCATTTCTTCAAAGTGAGTTGACAAAGGTTCCGATAAGCAATAAGAGGAAAACAATTAATACGAAGCAATAATATCTATATATGTAAGACAAATGTAGGCAAAGCAGCAGTAATAAGGCAAAAAGTTTCGCAAACTGTGAATGATGTTGATACACAAACGGGATACAAACAAGTGACCGCAGCGTTCTGACCAGAACTAGGAGAAATATACCGGAAGGAGATCGAGAAGTCGCTTATCTTATTGGCTCGGAAAAAAATCCCAGCATTCATCTGTATGTTTTATCTATAACTTTGGAAATGTAGCTGCTTTTGTTGACTTTCGTAGTAATTAGAAGCAATAGAAATAAATTTAATATTTATATAGTCAAATAAAATTTTTAAACGCTTCGATACTTTTTATTTTTTACTTTATTTTTTTTAATGAAAAATTGAGCCAATCTTTTATCGGGCTACAGCTGGTGTACATTTTTTTCCTGGCAAAAACCTCGAAATAGGATCTATTTAAAAAAAAAAAAATCTTATAATATTGCCGTCACATATGGTCCAGAGTCGCTTCTATTTACCTAGATATTCTTGATAAAATCCAAAGAATAATTAGCAATTTAATCGGTCGGTACATGGAGGCTTGTCTTCATTCACTTTCCCACCGACTTAAGGCTGCCTCTCTGTGTCTTTTCTATAAAAACAGTGATTGTTCAGATGAGCTCTTCGCTAAGGCAAATGGAATTTTTGAATTTAAGGGAAGTACTCGACTGGCGTCAAGATCTCATCAGTTTACAGCTGAGTTGGTTAGATGTACCCGTAAGTTCTATGCTAACATTTTCTTTTCTCGCACTTCTCGCTTGTGGAAGTCCATTCCTGTTCAATGCTTTCCAGACAACTTCCACCGGCGAAAATGTAAATGCAATGTCAATCGCTATCTGCTTCATTATTAATGTTTCTGTTTTCTAAGTCTTCCGCACGCGGCAACCCTTTGCGTCTTAGTGACTTTATCGCCTTGCATGGGGTGAAATAAAGCAAAAAAAATTTTTTGGAGTATTTCAGATTTTCGCTTTATTTTACGTCCGCATAATCCATGCTCGGGAAATAGAGGTATGGATAATCGAGGAGTTTGCGCATTAGATTAATCCTGTTAGACCCATAAAACGGTTAATCCGCGAATTTAGTAACTCATGACGTCGGAAAGTCTGTGGTGTTAATGTATTTCTTTTGCCCCCCCCCTATTTTTTTTTTTTCATTTTTGTCTATTCTGTCTTTTTCTAGTATTTTTTGGTTTAATTTTCTTTGTTCTTATATTGTTCGATTCTTTCCTTTTATTCTCCTTCTTTTTCATACATCTCATTCCTTATTTTCTTTATTCCGGCATTTTTCCTTCACATAAAAATAGTTTATTAATCATTGTGCTCAAGCACATCCATAGAGCTCAACACAGGTTTATACTGAAACATTTTTTTTTTCTTCTTTTTTTAGTCATTTAGGCAATAAACCTACTAAAACCCAATGGGTTACTTAGGAAGACTTCTCTCGGTATCCCATTATTATCTCCAAAAAACGCAAAAGCAATTCATACAATCTAAAAATATTTTCTGGCTTTAAATAACCTGAAAAAAGGGTTGATAAGCCGTAGAAAATGAACCAATCAACAAATCAATTAAATACTGATTAGCTACATATATTTTAGATTTATTTACATTCTCTTGAATTTAATTATATAGAAAGTACAATGACCACAAAGTGAGGGGTCAGTTTATATAATGACTGTAGTATGGAAGTGTTCCCCCACCTTATATCCACATTATAATTTCTTGTTTGCTTATCAAATTCTGATTAAATATGAATTCACCTGTTCCCTCCCTGCTGTTGGCTAATAAGTAAAGGCTTGTATTACCAAATCAATTTTATCTCGAAAATTTCTTAGAATGTAAAAATATTTTCTGGCTTTAAATAAACTGCAAGGGGTTAATAAGCCATAAAAAATGAACAAATCAAACATTCTCCATAGAACCTTTGATATATACAGAAATTTTTTTTAATCAGTTAATTTTATTTATTACAGCATTTTTCTTTCCCAGAAAAATAGTTTCGCATTCCAATAACTTGTCCGAAATATTTAATTACATTATTCTTATAATTCAATTTCTTTTGTTGACGATTTTTACCTTTCTTTCTTAGTTGTTTATATTAATAATTATTTTCTGCGTTCCTTCCTTCCTTCCTTCCTTTATCCATTCATTCATTTATTCCTTCTTCCTATCCTTCATTCATTCCTTACTTCGTTCGAGCGTTCGTTCATTCCTTCCTTCCTTTATTCATTCATTCATTTATTCCTTCTTCCTATCCTTCATTCATTCCTTACTTCGTTCGAGCGTTCGTTCATTCCTTCCTTCCTTTATTCATTCATTCATTTATTCCTTCCTTCCTATTTATTCCTTCCTTCCGTTCATTCCTTCTTTATTCATTCATTCATTTATTCCTTTATCCTTCGTTCATTCGTTCGTTGAGCGTTCGTTCATTCCTTCCTTCCTTTATTCATTCATTCATTTATTCCTTCCTTCCTATCCTTCATTCATTCCTTATTTCGTTCGAGCGTTCGTTCATTCCTTCCTTCCTTTATTCATTCATTCATTTATTCCTTCCTTCCTATCCTTCATTCATTCTTACTTCGTTCGAGCGTTCGTTCATTCCTTCCTTCCTTTATTCATTCATTCATTTATTCCTTCCTTCCTATCCTTCATTCATTCTTACTTCGTTCGAGCGTTCGTTCATTCCTTCCTTCCTTTATTCATTCATTCATTTATTTATTCTTCCTATCCTTCATTCATCCTTCCTTCCGTTCGAGCGTTCGTTCATTCCTTTTCCTTCATTTATTCTTCCTTCCTTATTCATTCATTCATTTATTCCTTCCTTCCTATCCTTCATTCATTCATTTCTTTTCTTTCATTCATTCATTCTTCCTTCCTTTATTCATTCATTCATTTATTCCTTAATTCCTATCCTTCATTCATTTTTCTTCGTTCGAGCGTTCGTTCATTCCTTCCTTCCATTTATTCATTCATTCATTTATTTTCCTTCCTATCCTTCATTCATTCCTTACTTCGTTCCTTCGTTCATTCCTTCCTTCCTTTATTCATTCATTCATTTATTCCTTCCTTCCTATCCTTCATTCATTCTTTTCGTTCGAGCGTTCGTTCATTTCCTTCCTTTATTCATTCATTCATTTATTTCTTCCTTCCTATCCTTCATTCCTTCTTTTCGAGCGTTCGTTCATTCCTTCCTTCCTTTATTCATTCATTTCATTCCTTCCTATCCTTCATTCATTTCATTCGTTCGAGCGTTCGTTCATTCCTTCCTTCCTTTATTCATTCATTCATTTATCCTTCCCTATCCTTCATTCATTTCTTACTTCATTCAGCGTTCGTTCATTTTCCTTCCTTTATTCATTCATTCATTTATTCCTTCCTTCCTTCATTCATTCACTTCGTTCGAGCGTTCGTTCATTCCTTCCTTCCTTTATTCATTCATTCATTTATTCTTCCTTCCTTCCTTCATTCATTCCTTACTTCGTTCGAGCGTTCGTTCATTCCTTCCTTCCTTTATTCATTCATTTATTCATTCCTCCTTTCTATCCTTCATTCATTCTTCCTTCCGTTCGTTCATTCCTTCCTTCTTTATTCATTCATTCATTTATTCCTTCTTCCTATCCTTCATTCATTCCTTACTTCGTTCGAGCGTTCGTTCATTCCTTCCTTCCTTTATTCATTCATTCATTTATTCTTCCTTCCTTTCCTTCATTCATTCTTACTTGTTCGTTCGTTTTTCCTTCCTTCCTTTTTTCATTCATTCATTTATTCCTTAAAAATCCTTCATTCATTTTTTTTTCGTTTTCATTCCTTCAGATTCATTCATTCCTTATTCCTTCCTTCCTTCCTTCATTCATTCATTCATATTCATTCATTCCTTTATTCATTCATTCATTTATTTTTTCGTTCCCCTTCCGTTCCTTCTTCATTCATTCATTTATTCCATCCTTCCTATCCTTCCTTCCGTCCTTTCTTTCTTCTTTCTTTCCTTTCTTTATTCCTTGTTCATCTGCCTTCTTTCATTCATTCATTCCTTAAGTCAATTTTTCCTTAATTCATTCATTCATTTATTTCTTCCTTCAATCATATATTTTTATTCGTGCATTCATTCATTCATTCATTCTTTCTTTATTTCATTCATTCATTCATGCATTCCTTCCTTTCCTTCCTTCCTTCCTTCCTTTCCTTCTTTCTTTCATTTATTCATTTCATTTTTCTTCCTTCCTTTCTATTCATCTCTTTCATTCCTTCTTTCCTTCCTTTATCCCCCTCATTCACTTTCCTTCCTTTTCATTCATTTTTTTCAATTTTTTCTTCCCTTTCATTCCTTCTTTCATTCATTAATTCCTTCCTACGTTCATTTATTGGTTCGTTCCTTCCTTCCTTTATTCATTCATTCCTTCCTTTCTTCCTTTTTTTCCGCTCTCACTATCTGTCTTTTTCTTTCTTTTTTCATTATTCCTTCCATCCTTCATTCTTTTTTTTTTTTTTTCCTAGTTCCTTCCAGAGTCACTTTCTTACATTCTTAATAATTCACTTTTCATTCAATCATTTTTTTCTCTTTCTCTTCTTTTCTTCAAGTCGTTCTTATCTGTGTTCATCTAATCGTTTCTCTTCCTGATTCCATGTTTCCTTTTTCCTTCTCTCCTTCCTTCCTGTCTTGTCTTCCTTCTATTTTTTAGGATCATTTTTCCTTATTCATCTACTATCCTTTCCTTCTCCCCCTCTCACTTTCCGTTTTCTCTTTCTCTTTCTTTTTTCCTCCTTTCTTTCCTTTTTTTCATTCATTTTTCCGTTCCTTCCTTCTCTTTTCTTTCTCCCTCCCTCCTTTTCTCCTTCCTTCCTTCCATTTCCATTTTTTTTTTTCCTAGTTTTCTTTATCATTCCCCTAAACTTTTCATTCAATCCTTTCTCTTCCTTCTTTCTCTTCTTTATATCTCTTAATCGATTCCTTCCTTCCATGTTTCTTATACTCTCACTTTCTGTCTGTCTTTTTCTATTTTTTGCCAAATAATTCTTTCCTCCCTCCCTCCCTTCTTTTCCTATCTCTTTCCTCCTTTTTTCTTTTCATTTTTTTCCTTCTTTTTCCCTTCTCTTCTTTCCTCTCCTTTTTTCCTTTCCTTCTTTCCTTTCTTCCCCCCTTCTTCCTTCCTTCCTTCCTTCTTCCCTTCCTTCCTTCCTTTCTTTCTTTTTCCTCCCTCTTCCTTCTTTCCTCCCTTCCTTCCTTCTTTTCTTTCTTTCCTCCTTCTTTCCTTCTTTTTTTTTCTTTTTTTTCCTCCCCGTTCCTTCCTTCCTTCCTTCCCTCTTCTTTCTCCTTCCCTTTCCCTTCCTTCCCTTCTTTTCTTTCCTTCCACCCTTTCCATCTCCTTCCCTTCCTTCTCCTCTCTCCCTCCTTCCTTTCCTTCCTTCTTTTCCTTCCCTTCCGCCCGTCTTCTCTCCCCTCCTTTCCTTCCTTCCTTCCTTCCTTCCTTCCTTCCTTCTTTCCTTCCTTCCTTTGCTTCTTTCTTTCCTTTCCTACCTTCCAATCATCCGACCGTAGATGTTAATATTCTTATTTCTCTGTCCAACAAAAGCCATTTTTCGTGGAATTACTTCAAATTCAGTATTCAATTTACTAAATACTCCTCTCTGTCAGCATGGACTCATATCGTTCGGAACAATCGCCCTTTTTTTCTGACCAATAAATCCTTGGCATTAATTTTCTCATTCTTTCCATTACTTCTTCTTTCCGTATTTCTTTTTCTCATTCGACACAAAGTGTATTCATGGAATATTTTCTTCATTTCCTACGCCATTTTTTTTTTGACTTCACCATTTTTAATTTGATCTTTTTTTTCTTATTGTTAACTGCAACACTCAGAATGGATTTATTTATTTATTTACTTTAAATCCATGTCGTCTTTGAGTGACTTTGATTTGACGCCATTTATGAAGATTGCATCAGTTAAAACCTGTAGATAAATAATTATGATTTATATATATATATATATATATATATATATATATATATATATATATATATGACGTATAAAGCTGTTTACAGGTGCCGTAAAAAATGACTGTATTAGTTATGTAATTTTGAAACTCTATTGATTATATTTTTTAAAGTAGTTTACTATAATTTTATCAGTGCAATTAATTCTACTCCAGCGAGCAAATATTTACATGATTAAAAGTAAAAAAGTGTATTTATCGAAAGAAATTTAACACCACTCATACCATAAAAATAACTGCAATGTTTAAATCAAGGGTTCTTAACCGTGGGTATCCCTACCCCTTTCTTAACCGTGGGTATCTATACCCCTTGGTGGTATGGGAACCAAATGCTGGTGGTATGGTAAAAGTCTGTTTTATGTAATCGAGATACTAAAAAATCCTTGCATATTTATGTACTCTTCCTTTTTCTTATGTAATAAAACTAAATTATAACTAAATTTTGCTTTCAGTAAAAAAAAAATTAATAAATTTATCAATGCTTATGTTTTATGTCCTATTCCTAGCAATCCATAGCTAAAGTACAGTAAATTCAAGCGATTGAAATATTTGGAAGACATACTTGCAAATAATAGGATTGGTGATAATTATTTCGACAGTCAATGTAAAGTCAATCGACAAAATTTGATGCCTTCATCCTGATCCTCGTCATTTCCTCAAACACCCCCTTCGTTACTCTTGCTCTGATTCTCGGTAACCGCTTTGTTTGGGGTGAAATTCTTAAAAAAATTGTTCTAGAGAGACAAGCTTGATAACATGGCACCACGGCCATGTGTTTATATATATATATATATATATATATATATATATATATATGTGTGTGTGTGTGTGTGTGTGTGTGTGTGTTTCCTACAATAATTAGTTTTCTTTCTTTATTTCTTTTTCTTTCTTTCTTTTTATTTTTATTTATTAACTTCTTTCTTTCTTTCTTTCTTTCTTTAATCCTGACCTTACTTTCTTTCTTTCTTTCTTTCTTTAATCCTGACCTTACTTTCTTTCATCCTGACCTTACTTTCTTTCTTTCTTTCTTTCTTTCTTTCTTTCTTTCTTTCTTTCTTTCATCCTGACCTTACTTTCTTTCATCCTGACCTTACTTTCTTTCATCCTGACCTTACTTTCTTTCTTTCTTTCTTTCTTTCTTTCTTTCTTTCTTTCTTTCTTTCATCCTGACCTTACTTTCTTTCTTTCTTTATTTCTTTCATCCTGACCTTACTTCCTTTCTTTCTTTCTTTCTTTCTTTCTTTCTTTCTTTCTTTCTTCCATCCTGACCTTACTTTCTTTCTTTCTTTCTTTCTTTCTTTCTTTCTTTCTTTCAGCCTGGCCTTTCTTTCTTTCTTTCTTTCTTTCTTTCTGTAAACCATATTGGACAATCCATTGGGGGTCTGGAATCAAAAGGTTAAGAACCCCAGGTTTAAATAATTTTACGGTTTCATTGTGGAGCGAAGACCGAAGTAAGCAGGAAGAAACTCAAACATAAGATGGCAAAAAACAGTTTCTCAGTGGAAGGATTCGCTTCATCTAATGACAAAAAAATAAATTAATCCTTCGAAAATAAATATTTAACACTTTTCAACCAACAGGTCGCGTTCCAGCCGACATTAAAAATGATCCCTTTGAAGAGTATCCAACAATAGGAACTAGATCACAATTCTACTGAAGTGTATCATCTAGACGGAGAAATGGAGTGAGGACATAGAGACGACAATATACGACAGCAGTTTATGACGGCGGCTTTAGAGATTCTTTTACTCATTCACCCGTTTTCATCACCAAGATACGTGATACTTATTCTATTCTACACCAAGCTACGTGACACACATTTCCCCCTCACTTTCTCTACAAGGATTGTAAATGTTTTAATCATAAGATGGGCAAAACCGATTTCTGAGTGGAAGGATTTGCACATCCTTCAGGGTAATTGTTATGGGACCTTACCCATAATAGAATAATGGACTATTCCATACGTAATAAATAATGCGCCTCAAGAGGATGCAGGGTGTTCAGTCCGAAGCCTGAGTTCCGTCTAAAGTCTGAGTTCAGTCTGAAGTCTGGAGTGAAGTCCATCAGGAGTCTGTCAGTCAGTCAGAGCGAGCGAATCAGTCAGTCGAGTCAGAGGCAGTCCGAAACAGAGTCGCGTTCAGACAATTACCACTAAACCTGATTGTTCGTACTAACACTTTCTACCCCTCTGTATATATTCCTGTTTGTAATATATCTGTGTTATTCCATATCCGCCTTCGAGTTCTTTTTTATTGGTTCTACCTTGGACTAACACCGTGGTACAAGGAACCGGACCATAACAGTAATAAATAATTCTATGATACCATGGACCGAACAAGTAAGCAATGAATGGTTTTGGAGAAAATGGAAACAAAAAGTAAACTTATACTTAACATCAGGTCGAGAGTGTTGAAATTTCTGGGGCATATTAATGAGAAAAGATAGCTTGCTATCCAGACGCTCCCTGTAGCTGAATGATATACCACGTCAGGACAAATGACGATTTACGAATAGGAATACAGGTTCGATTCCTGTCGGGGAACGCATATTTTCTTTAGAATTTTTCGAACATTCAGGCCGGTAAATGTAATTAATACTGTTTAATTAAAAACAATATTTACCTAAATAAACTGCACATATAAAAATAACGTATAAACAGAAATATATGTGTGTGTATGTGTTTGTGTTCGTGTGAGTATGTGTGTGTGCGTATATATATTCTGGTTTATAAATTAATTAAATTGCAAGAAAACTGAATGCGTGGTTGTTAGCAAAAGAGACAGCCCAACGTGCAAATTACAGATTGGGGATGCCGAAAGCAAACTTCTGCAACAACTTTTATCCTTTAGTATTTCAAGATATTGTTGTGCAATTTTGGTAAATATATCTGTTAAAAAAGTGTGTGCGTATATATATATATATATATATATATATATATATATATATATATATATATATATAAAGATAAATATGTTTTCTCCTGCAGTTTTCGTTTATGGAACTCTCTTACGGTCTCTTACTTCCCAGTCAGATTTGATCTTCAATATATATAATGATAAATTAAGTAAACACCTTAGAATATATATATATATATATATATATATATATATATATATATATATATATATATATATGAATAAAATGACAATAGGAAAACTGGTAATTGCTGACGCGTTTCGTCCAATGTGAACTTTATCAAAGCAAAATACGAAATATTGTCTTCTCTACTGGTTAAATCGGAGAAATTTTCATATATATATATATATATATATATATATATATATATATATGTGTGTGTGTGTATGTTTCCGTTTGTGCGGTGTATGTGTGTATTAAAATAACTATTTTTTCTCTCGCAGTTTTCGCTTGTGAAACTATCTTCTTGCTGCCCAATCAACATCGATCTTCAAAGATTTAGATGCAATGTCCATCGTCATCTTTTATTTTCTTAGTTCTTGTTCTTTTATTGTTCTTTCGCCTTCAAATTATATTTTTTCTCATATTCTCTAACACCCTGAAACGCCTTGCGTCTTAGCAACTTTATTGCCTTACTTGGCGTGAAATGATGTAGAAATAGCCAAAACAAATAAGAAAACAATTTAAAATGTACATATTCTTCTATGTCTCGTGTCCCTTCAGGATTTTGTCGCTTATAGGTCTACGAAATGCCAAACTCTGCTCCGCCATCCATTCGCTCAAGGTCGCCGGGTAGGTCATGCTCTGTATTCCTCTGACCCCTGCGCTGTAAGTATCAAATTTACCAAGCCTTTTTCCTCATTATGTGCCCCAGAAATTGCAACTGTTTCTTGTTGATGTTAAGTATATTGATATTTCGGTTTTCTTAATATTTTGCTTAGCTTTTGGAAGGCATCTTTCGCTATCTCAATGCATTTGGATTTCCGTGTCGTACAGTCCTCTGTTAATACGCCTTGCAGTTATCAAAATTGTTGCAGTTGTTTGCTTCCGGCATCCCCAATCTGTAATTTGCATGTTGGGTCGTTCCCTTTTGCTAACAACCACGTATTCAGTCTCCTTGCCATGGATGTTTATTTTATTTTTCTTTTGGCTTTCCGTCTCTACCTTCCGTAGGAGTTTTTGTGGTTTCCTTTGTGTGTCTGCTATCAACACTGAGACTTGTTTTTTAAGAATGTGGTCGACAGTAATGAATCCTGATAGGACTTCTACTTCTCTCAGAATGGGCTCGATTCATAGGTTGAAAACGTCTGGTGTGATGATGCATCTTTGTCTTACAACCAGTTTTTATGTTTGTGTCTATACTGAAGCCATCGCCTATCTGTGGGCAAGCGTTTTGCTATCAGTAGAAATTCAGGATTATTCTAATCTCCTTCCCCCCATATGTCAAGTTAACCTAGTAGTCCCAGCAGATTATTGTGACGTACATTCTTAATCGGTTTTGCATAATCTATAAAACATAAGTATGACATAAGTATAAACATAAGTATAATAAAACATATGTATAATAAAACAACTACCTATAAAACATAGTTAAAATTAAACGACCAATTAAAAAACATAGGTATAATAAAACAAACAAAAACATAGGTATAATAAAACATAGGTATAATAAAACAAGCACCTATAAAACATAGGTATAATAAAACATATGTATAATAAAACAATTACCTATAAAACATAGTTATAATTAAACGACCAATTAAAAAACATAGGTATAATAAAACAACCACCTATAAAACATAGGTATAATAAAACATATGTATAATAAAACAAGTACCTATACAACATAGCTAAAATTAAACGACCAATTAAAAAACATAGGTATAATAAAACATAGGTATAATAAAACAACTACCTATAAAACATAGGTATAATAAAACATAGGTATGATTAAACCACCGCCTATAAAACATAGGTATAATAAAAGAACTACTTGTAAAACATAGGTATAATAACACATAGGTATAATAAAGCAACCACCTATAAAACATAGCTGCAATAAAATATAGGTATCATTAAATCACCGCCTATAAAACATAGGTATAATAAAACATAGGTATAATAAAACAAACACCTGTAAAACAGAGCTATAATAACTCATAGGTATAATAAAACAGCCACCTATAAAACATAGATATAATAAAGTTATAGGTATGATTAAACCACCACCTATAATAAGACATAGGTGTAATAAAACAACTACCTGTAAAACATAAGCATAATGAAACATACCCCTATAAAACATAGTTATAATAAAACATACGTATGCTAAAACATAGGTATAATAAAACAACCACCTATAAACATAGGGTATAATAAAACAACCAGTTATTACGTTAACACTGACGGGGTTGAATGTCGACATCGTGTATTGCATATTGTAACACCTTAATATACGAAGGAGCTGAGATCTGTTTTTATTGCAAATAAAAATGCGAAGTTATTTGGTTATATATATATATATATGTGTGTGTGTGTGTGTGTGTGTGTGTGTGTGTGTGTGTGTGTGTACTGCTGCGACAGTAGAAGTTTTGTTTCTTGGGTAAGTTAGGTGTTGGGGAGAAGAAAAGGATTCATACCTTTCCCAAGGGTAATAATGCTTAAGTAAATGTAAAAGATCTTATGGAATTCGAACTCGATTCTTCAATCCGAATTCTATCTATTACTCCACCGTGGTTCACTGACTGTCTGTGTGTATATGCAAATAATGTGTAAATATTTGATATAAAGTAAATATGTACATCCTTTAGAGAGAAGAAACTGTTAGAATAGGTTACATCTAGGCCATGTCAACTGAAAAATGATGAGACCTTTCCTCCAATCCAGTACTGCGTGCGCTTAAATTGATAAAATCATGGTTGTCTTTGTTTCACGGCATATCTACCTCAATGAGTTATTTAATGCCGAAATTTAAATATTCCGTACGCAATTTTATTGTTTTGGAGGTTAAAAATGTTTTTTTAGTAATACAAGTTTTACTAATTAACCCATAGCTGGGGGAAAGAGATGGATTCATATCTTTCTCAACGGTATTTGCGCGTAAATGATTATAGCGAACCCTGCCGGAACCAGAACTCGGATATCCGATTAAGAATTTCAAGCCATTATGCATTACACCACTCGCACCTCCAACCTTACAACGCTTGCTATTCTCAAGCGGGTACCCATCTAGGTACCTACCAGGATCGACGTTGCTTAACTTCGGAGATCATACAGGAACGGGTATTTCAACGTGATGTGGCTGTAAGGCATGAAGTCTAGGTAGCATAGAGGAGAGTTAATCGTTAAATTTTGGGGAGAGAATGCATACCCTGGCGTTATTAACACTCTTATTTTACGACATCTAAACATTTGCGTTAATTACAAGTGGGCAATGATCATCCAGGCGAACTTGTTAACCATTACACCACAGGATGCTCTCGCATCGTTTCTTCTTTCTTTATTTATTCCTTTCTTTCTTTAATATATTTTTCTTTCATCCTTTCTTTCACTAATTTCTTTTTTCCTTCCCTCTTTTTTTACTATATTTTCATTATTCCTTTCTTTCACTGATTTCGTTTTTTTTCTTTCTTTCTTTAGTATATTTTTTCTTCCTTTATTTCACCAATTTTGTTTTTTCATTCCTTCTTTCTTTCTTTCTTTATTTACTATATTTTCTTTCACCAATTTCTTTCTTTCCTTCCCTCTTTTTTTACTATATTTTCATTCTTCCTTTCTTTCACTGATTTCGTTTTTCTTTCTTTCTTTAGTATATTTTTCTTCTTTTATTTCACCAATTTTTTTATTGCTTCTTTTCTTTCTTTCTTTCTTTCTTTCTTTCTTTATTTACTTTATTTTCTTTCGCCATTTTCTTTCTTTCCTTCCCTCTTTTTTTACTATATTTTCATTCTTCCTTTCTTTCACTGATTTCGTTTTTTTCTTTCTTTCTTTAGTATATTTTCTTCTTTTATTTCGCCAATTTCGTTTTTTCATTCCTTCTTTCTTTCTTTCTTTATTTACTATATTTTTTTCACCAATTTCTTTCTTTCCTTCCCTCTATATTTTCTTTCTTCATTTTTTGCACCGATTTCGTTTTTTTTCTTTCTTTCTTTAGTATATTTTTCTTTCTTTATTTCGCCAATTTCATTTCTTTCTTTCTTTACTTTATTTTCTTTCACCAATTTCTTTCTTTCCTTCCTTCGTTTTTACTATATTTTCTTTGTTCCTTTATTTCGCCAATTTCGTTTTTTCTTTCTTTCTTTCTTTCTTTCTTTCTTTCTTTCTTTCCTTCTTTCTTTACTAGATTTTCTTTCACCAATTTATTTCTTTCATTCCTCTTTCTTTACTATATTTTCTTTCATCCGTTCTTTCACCAGTTTCGTTTTTTCTTTCTCTCTTTTTTTCTTCTTTCTTTTGCAGAATCTGTGCGTAATCTTAGAAATCCTGCATTTTAATCATTCTGCAGTTAAAGAAATAGGGATAGAAATTGCTATCCTAGTATGCTTGCGTACTAATGTAGCTAGCAAATCCATGTTGCAGGCGACTGCCCAGGCACGTCCACAGAGCCAAAATGTTGCTAATACTAAGCGGACCTTTGTTACAGTTTCTGGGAGAAAGCACATAATCTGGCGTAATCAGTAGTTGAACAAGTCTAGTGCACTGACACCCTCGGTCTTGATGACTTGTGACTTTCATCTAACCAAATCAAATGACAAAATTGACTCAACTCGTGGTATGATTTCAAATTACTTCTCAATAGTGCTTCTCAAAACGTTATGAATATGGCAATGAAGATGAGGATAACAGTCCGAATGATGTAAATAATGCAAGTAATCATAATACCTCATCTCAGAGATATAGACAGATAAATATGACATAAAGGCCGGAGAGTACAACGGCTGAAACGTGTCACTGTCATCATCTTTTCTTTTTAATCATTTCACACCAAGCAAGATGATAAAGCCGCTAAGACGGAACGGAATACTGAAGATGAAAGACAACAGAATGGAGAAAAGACAATAAATAAACAGGTTTCAAGAAGATACAAAATGACGATCAACTTTATATTTGAATTTTTTAATCGGTATTACCCAATGTAAGGTAATAAAGCCACTAAGACAAGCGGGATTACAGGGTTTCGAGTAAATACGAACAGAAACATTAATAATGAGCGGGAAGCGGAAAGAGTAATCAGCGTTCCAGTAGAGAGCGATTGAGATTGCATTTAAATTTGTGCAGATTAAAGATGGCGGGAAAGCATGGAACCGGAAGGGAATTCCACAAGCGAGAAGTGCGAGAAAAGAAAATGTTAACATAGAACTTATGACTACATCAAGCCAACTCAACTCTAAATTGATGAGATCTCGACGACAGTCTAACATTTCGCTTAAATTCATAATATCTAGGTACTATAGCGACGAACTCATACCAACAAGTAGTATCAATATATTTACAGAAAAGAGACAAGTTTACGGCAATGGTAAAGTCACTGAATCTGATCTGCTAGATCAGGACCAATAATATTGCAGATTCCTCTTTGGATCTTATCAAGGAACTCAAGGTAAATAGCAAGGGCAGCGGAACATATGTGGCAGCAATATTCTAAGCATGGATGAATGGTAGACATGAATATATAAGATAGATGCCGGATAGAAAATGAACAGCTGACCGAGCAATGAATTCAATATAGTCTTTCCAATTCATGTCAGAAAAAGCAAAGGGAGGCAACCATACGATGGTGTGAAAGTGAGTGAAGCCAAGCCGCCAGATAAGGACCAATAATATGGCTGATTCCTCTTTGGATCTTATCAAGGAAGTCAAGGTAAATAGCACGGGCAGCGGAACATATGTGGCAGTAATATTCTAAGCATGGGTGAATGGTAAACATGAATATATAAGATAGATGCCGGATAGAAAATGAACAGCTGACCGAGCAATGAATTCAATATAGTCTTTCCAATTCATGTCAGAAAAAGCAAATGGAGGCAACCATACGACGGTGAGAAAGTGAGTGAAGCCAAGCCACCAGATCAGGACCAATAATATTGCTGATTCTTCTTTGGATCTTATCAAGGAACTCAAGGTAAATAGAAGTGACACCGGAACATATGTGGTAGCAATATTCTAAGCATGGGTGAATGGTAGACATATAGATATATAATTGGATTTCAGAGGAAAACCAGATGGGGGAAGATTGTTATATAAACGAGAATTGTAAGAGAATAAACACTTACAATAGACTGTGATATTATCAAGGGCACCATTCGTACAAGTTGTGAGATTCTAACCCGAGTCTTGTGTTCGCTAACGCTCTAACCACTACGTCACGCGTCAAAGTATATTGTTTAGAAACTTCCATAGGAAATTCAGATAATTGGTAAAAGAACCCGACATGAACTTTGATCTCATTGTCCTTTGTCTTTTGGATCGACACAGATAAAAATTGATTTTGGGACTTTGGTAATTACTTGCAATAAAAATGGATTCATTTGAGGAAACAATAAAGAAGAAAGCTAACGGTACAAGTACAGCTATCAATATCGGAGCCGACAAAAGAACTTACTGAAAAAAAAATGGTTCGGTTTGACTTGTCGGATTCAATGAGTCTTCTTGACGGCGAATTGCTGTAACTTACACAAAAACTTACTGCGCAAAACAATAAGAATTCGCCAGCGACATTACATGACATTGTCCTAGCTCAAATTAAAAAATAAGAAGCTCCAAAGATCGTTTGCAGCATCATCTGAGCGAACCAAATCTGCCATCCGTCAGCATGGCCGAGGCTAACATCCGGGAGTGTAAATCGTTTCGACTTCCCGGACTAACGTTTTCCGCTGACAAGAAGTAAAAAGATTGTATTCAGTATCTGTCTATATTTCTGAGATGAGGTATTATGTACACTATTTACATTATTCGGACTATTGTCCTCATCCTTGTCACCATATTTATTATAACGGTTCGTTTAAAGAAGAACAGAGCGTACAACGCTCGAAACGTTGTAATAAATATGGCGACAAAGATAAACCACAATATTTCGAATAATGTAAATAGTGTACATAATACCTCATCTCAGAAATATAAACAGACCCTGAAGAAGGCTGGAGCATACAACGGCCGAAACGTTGTAATACATATGGCGACAAAGATGAGGACAATAGTCCGAATAATGTAAATAGTGTACATAATACCTCATCTCATAAATATAGACAAATCCTGAAGAAGGCCGAAGCGTACAACGGTCGAAACGTGGTAATAAATATGGCGACAAAGATGAGGACAATAGTTCGAATAATGTAAATAGTGTACATAATATCTAATCTCAGAAATATAGACAGATCCTGAAGAAGGCTGGAGCGTAGAACGGCCGAAACGTTGTAATAAATATGACGACAAAGACGGGGACAATAGTCCGAAGAATGTAAATAATGTAGATTATATATACGTCTGCTGCTAGGAAAGTTTGTTCACGTTGTCGAGCTAGAGATTTTTCTCCCGCAAAACATATCTTTCATATTTAAAGTCTACCATTATCACCCCCCTACACCAATGCGTTGAACATTGCTGCCACATCTGGTGTGTAGCTCCTGCTATACATTTGGAGATTAATGAAAGAAGAATTATCTACAGTGTTATTAGTTCTTACCTGTTAGCTCGGCTTCAGTCACTTACTCACCCCCTTAACATATCTTTCCTCTGCCTATTTTTTATAAATATTTTCATGTTAATTGTTCTGATGAACTTTCCTCTACGGTAGTTAGACTTTATGAATGTAAGCGCAGTACTAGATTGGCAGTTATGTCCTATCTTTTAACAGTTGAGATGGCTAAATGTAACCGTAAGTTCTATGTTGACAGTTTCTTCTCTCGCACTTCTCCCTTGTGGGACTCTCTTCTAGCTTCTTACTTCGCAGCCAATATTGATCTTCAAAAAATGTGATGTTAATCGTTATTTTCTGCCTTTTTAGTTCTCGTTCTTTGAACAGTTCTCTATACTTAATCGTATTCTTTCTCATACCCCCTATCAAACGATAACCCCCCCACACACACACACTTGCGTCTTAGTGGCTTTATTGCCTTATTTGTGTTGAAATGATCAAAAGAAAAAAAAAACCTGTGCCGTCCAAAAATGGAACGTTTCTGCATCTGGAATCTCTGGTATTAATCTATAAAAGTAACATTGTCACCGAATGCGTGTAAGAATTCTAATTAACAAATCCTTAAAAATAAGAATCTTTATATTTAACCACACCTCTGAATATCTTATCTCAGGTTAAAAAGAAGAAGCTCTCCAAAGACAGTCGTTCTATCACTAAGATATATCCACATGCGCAATCTAGAATTCCTATGTATAAAATGAACTCTATTGTCGAACGTAAGAAAGAAAAATTGATTTTTAAAATAAAAAAAAAAACATTCTAAAGGTAATGTATCATCAAAACCTGAAGGCCATATTTATGTAACACGTGTGGTGTGATGAATATTCTACATGTGGTGTCTCCGCCAGGCATTTGCTCTTCAGACTATCACGATATTTGTGGGTTACCCCACGTGGCTTTTGCCAAAAACGCTCGGGAGGATGCGCTCTTTAAGTGCATTATTTAACTCTTTCTCTTTCTAACTGTTGTTCCCAGATGGAGTCGAACGTTGATAAAGGACGCTTTCACTGGGGAACGTTCGATTCCTTGAATTTTGAACTCTCAAGCACACGCACTTGCACACATGTGTCTATCAAGCACATACGAGCAAGCAGATTTTGAACACTTTCACTGCTACTCATTTGCCTAGTGCTGCCCCCCATCCGGCCAGCCATTTTTAAAGAAAATGCCAAATTTCAACCTACATATTTTATTACACAGAAAACTGGCACCAGTGTGTTTTACAGCCTTCCATTTTCATGGATATACCTAGGAATGGCTTACCAGATAAGTAATGGGTATACACATGATATCTTTTGAAGCATTGTCCTTTGTGATTTTACGATAGATGGCGCAACGGGACACTCATACCAGCGGTATGCAAAAAAAAAAAAACGTAGGTTTTCGTACTTAGCCAGCTGGAGCAAGATAAGAAAAACGAAGATCTCCGTAGTTAGCAACGGAAGTGTTAAGCTAGTTTCAATGTCTTTTTCTTTTCATTACAATTGTGTATACATAAAAATACTTTTGTTAATACATGTATTAATTGTCGCATTGGTTTCCGTTAATTTTTTTTTTTTAAACCGGACTCATATGAGTCCGCCAATATTGTTTGCGGGACACAATTTCCAGCTCATACATATTTACTATAAACCGGCCGCACCTCGCAAGCAAAGACGCGATGCCCGTAACA